TATGACTAACACAAAGCTATATTAGTAGCTTTGTGTTATAAGCTATATTAGTAGCTTATACATTGAGCAATTGCATCATTTAGGTCAGGAAAGTTTAAGTAAAAGCAATCTTATATTTTACACTGTCCTAGGAGTTTAGGTTTTATTAGACTTTATCTATTTACATATCAAACTAGAGAAGAATCAACAGAGTTGCTGATGGAATCCACTTCTAAGAATGTAGTGTAAAGCCAGAGGGGTGGCAATGATGGCAATATGTAGCTCTAGTCAATGATTTCCTCATGGGATCTTCTCAGAGGCTCTGTTGTGTGAAATGAGCCATTTTCCCTGAACTCGCTGCATTGGAAAATGTATATGAAGTAAATGTCATGGCCAATGGTAGGTGCTGACAGGAAGAGAGAAAGGACTAAACAAACTCCAGTGTTAGTAAGTGAAAGACAGTGGAGGAGGCGCAGTGTAAGAGGGGGTCAGCGATGTCTGTGAGAAGTGCGTAGAGGCACATGTGCAATGGAAAAATTAAAGCTGAACAAACAGCAGCGACAATGCTACCTCACATAGGATAATAATGAGTTTTATATGTTGGTTTTATATTTCAAATGTAATTGGTGTTGCTGTGCCAACACCTCAAACAAGAACACCTATAGAAAACAGGGTTACATGGTCTCACTTTCTAATTAAGAATGGTGGAGATTCTGTGGAAGAGCCTATGCTTCCACTACTCTTTTAAGCATGTGCACCTTTTATGAAAAATAACTGTATTCTGGTTTTGGTACCACTTACAATAAGGCACCATTTATAAAGGGATTATACGCTGTAACAAGTTTTTTAATGGTTAATAAATCATTTATTGCTTTATAAGTTATTAGCTGGACCAGTTTGGGTTGCCAGGTTGTACAAAAATTCCTTTGGCTGGTGTTTAGCTTTAGTATTTAGTAATAAATGTGTTGTTAATGTTGTGCAGTTTAAACTATAAATTGATAAATTGAAAAGTCGATCAAGAGGAAATTAATCAGCAGCAGATTTTTCAGTTTAACTAGAAAGTTTCTATTAACAACTTATATTAAAACATCAATTAGTCACAGCTTATAGGCTGGAATCAGTATAGCTCTATGACACTATTACCCACACAGGAGTGAGCCATGGGTAGTAATTTATTTTCTGGCAGCATGAAGGAGTGTTTCTTAGCTCCCAGATCTCTCCCCTCCACACATTGCCTCAGGCTGTCTGTGTAACTAGCTAGAAATATGTCATTACATAAAAAAGCTATAGTGACAGTAGCAGTGAAATCAGTGTCATGTCATCTTTGGCGTCCTCCCAGCTCTGCTCAGTCAACCAGACATCACGCAGACAGTTGAGGCCTGTCTCTCCAAAGGCCTCATGTTTTGGCAAGCATGTGGGTTTTTGTCTTACTGAGGAATGCGCACATCATGTTGGTGGTATTGAATAAATTAAGACCACCATTTGCCAGTTGGATCTCCTTTCAAAGCTATACATAGTACAAAGAATCAAGTATTATATGTTTGCAGATGCAAGGAGCAGTAAACTACTTCCTGGTGTAAGGTGGATTTGAAAACTTTCTGAATTTTCTTGATTTTTCTTCCAGACTGATGTTCCAAACGAACTTAGGCAGGTACTCCATGTGGTACCATCACTCAATCCTCGACCGCCTGCTTGCCATAGAAATGTTGTGGAACAGTTGTCAGTCATATTAACATAGTGGGTCAGCTGGAATTGTTTGTTTTGGGACTGTGAATATGTTTCCTTGGCATTGTTAGCACAGTGTATTTTAACCAAGCACGAAACAATTAAAAGAAAAATGTCAGTTATTCAGAGAGAAACAGTTCTTGTGTATTGTGTACATCTCAAACCATACTCTTCTTTTAAAACTCTCTAAGTGTGTTGGGAGAGCAGTTTCTGTAAATACACAGTTTGCCAGGTTTCCACTTGAAAATTCATAGCCGTCAGACAAATTAAGGAAAGGCAAACACGCTTTGTAAAAAGGAAACCATTTGGCTCAATCTGAAAGCAAATCCTGATGCTTACTTTTCAACTGACTGCTCTGACTGTTAACCTGACAGTGAATATAGTTTAAAGACAATAGTATATAGCATATGTGAACTATTAAGTCCATTGGTATGAAGCTGAGGGCTCAAGAGGAAACATTTCAGTCAGTTATTGGACTTAATAAAACAAATCTCTTGTTGAGGAACTCCTGTGACCTTCTGCTAGAGGCTAAAGTAAATATGAGTGGTGATAGAATCTTCCCTGAAAATAGTAATAAAGTGAAAAATGTAAGTAATATACAGTAGATCACTGACCAGCATGTCTGGCACATTAATTAGACCAGTATGGACATCCAGCAGGTGGTTTGTACCTTTACAAAAACACTGTAGAATAATTTTGTTTAAGCCGTTGAGCTGTATTAAACCTGTGACAGGTTTCATCTTGGTGCTTTAAGTCTTGTCTTCACTTTTTAAAAGAAGGAAAATGAACAGTAAAACATAGAATGCATGCAAAAGGTCAGAGAGCTACATTTCAACAAAGCAGAATCTAGTGAGGAGTCAAAAATATAAAAGTGTCTTTTAAATATCCAGAGTACCACTGCAAAGACACGCTGGCCTGAAGACTTTTCTGTAAATCTGTTTGTTCTTCAGTTTCACTTTAAGGGTGTAAAGGAGGCCAGGAATTACCCATAATGAACAACTATGGTGCCAATTCCGTCCGTTGGTGTGACCAAAATGGTCACAGGCTGACAATCACATCCCTTGTGTGTGTTTATGAAAGCAATGCTCTGCTTTCCCCATCACAACCTCAGAGTGCTGGTCGTTGGTTATGCCAGCTATGTGGCAGTCCCCTCTTTGTGTATCTAATATATCCTTCCTTTAAATAAATGCAAGTGGACCACTTGTTCTCCATAACATTTAGAACTGAAACTTCTGCTTGTTGTGCTTCAAATGGATCACAGCTTTAAGATCCAGTTTACTGGATCTTACTTTATAATCAGGGTGACACAGGGCTACAGTGCTGTTGCCTCAGAACAAGAAGGTTCTGTGCTTGAACCTGTGTGGATGTTTTCTGGGTTACAAAGATAAGCAGCTATAGATAATGGATAATAGATTCTATAATGAGAGTATAAACCCTGCTGTGTGATTGGTGAGCTTGCAACTTGGATATGATATAAATATTAAACCAAGTATCCACTGCTTGTGTTATGTTCAATTCCTGCCACTGATTGAAATATGTCTACTTACTATCTGAATGCTTTATTAGTCACAGTATACGAGATACAATCCATCTGTTAATCCATTTTTATCTTCTTATGCGGGGTTGGGTCACAGATGCAGCAGAAACACACCCCAGAGATTTTGTCTAACCTGAGGGTGTCTCTCACCAGTTACTGGAATTTGGTTGTTCCTGGCCTAACTGCGGTTGACCACACTTTCAAAATTTTTTCTCTGGCCACAAAACGACCAGAAAGAGATGCAAAATGTCTTCAAAGAAACACAAAACATCCGTGAAGAAATACTAAGCAACCACAAGGAGTTGAAAGGAGACCACAAAGAGCCACAAAATGACTATAAAGAGACACAAAACATCTGCTAAAAGACACCAAACAAATGCAAGGAGATTCAAAATGACTACAAGGAGATGCAAAACATCCTTAAAACATGATAAAATAGTCAGGAAAATAAACAAGGAGGGTGGGGGGCATTTTACGTGCTTGTGCCCAGGGGCCCATTGTGTCATAATCTGTCCATGACCTTGATACCTCCTACCAGTTGGATGTGCCCAGGAAACCTCGAATGGAAGACGTCTGATTAGGATGCCTGAACCACTTCTACTGACTGAAGAAGATGTGAGCAAGCAGTGGCTCTACTGTGAGCTCCCTCTGGATGGCCAAACTCTGCACCCTATCTCAAAGTCCAGCCACCTTATGGAGGAAACTCACTTCAGCCACCTGCGTCTGTGATCTCATTCTTTCAGTTTCTATCCAAAGCTTGTGACTACAGGTGAGGGTTGGAACATAGATTTACTGTTGAATTGAAAGCTTTGCCTCACCAGCACAGTTCAGGACAATGCTCACATTACTGCTGATGTTACACTCATTTTCCTGTCAATCTCACATTCAGTTTTACCCCCACAGTAGAGCTCGAGATACTTAAACCCCTTCACAGCAACTCATTCCCAACCTGAAGTGAACAGTCCAGTTTTCCAGCAGAGACCCAAAGCCTCAGACCTGGGTGTTCTGATTCGCATCCCAACCACTTCACACTCGGCTGCAAACTACACACAGTGCATGCTGGAGGTGCCAGTTAGATGAAGCCAACACAGCCACATCATGTACAAGTCTATGCTTTGAGATCCTATCCATAAAACAAAAACCCAAACAGGATCAGAGACAAGGGGCAACCCTGGCAGAGGCCAAAATCCACTGGGAATATGCTTGACTTCTTGCTGAGAATATTGACACAGCTCTCACTCTGGTTATATAAGATCTGAATGACTTGTAATAACGGCCTGGTACCCTGCAAGGGTATATAGGCCTTCTTCAAGCCAACAAAAGACAAGTAGACTGGATGGGTGAACTCCCAGGACCCCTCCAGTAGACTTGTAGGGGTAAAAAGTTGGTCTGCTGCTCCACAGATATCATCCCAATCTAAAATTCAGTGTCAGGAACTTTACTAAAAAAAAAACCAACTCATCCACCACTGCAGAGAATTTGTGTTAAAGACAGACATGCCTGTGCTGGAGGCTTATCTCAGTCTCCAGCAAATGTTGAATTCCCCTGAACATTAACCATCGAACAGCTGAATTCATTTGTACATTAACCAAACCTTTGATATGCCCCATTTTGCTTTCAGTGCTGTTTAGGGTAGTATACCTTTTTAATTCTTATTGCTTATCCAGGAAGGTAAGCATCCTGTGCTTTATCAAGATGTAGCCCCCTCCCTCTCTGTGCACTGTTTAAACTGATCTGTGCCTGTGATCTTTCCCTCTAGGTTGACAGGTAATGAACCTTTGTCTATCCTGCCACTGAACTCTCTACCAGAGGAGAACATGGGCAGGGCCCACTACAAGCTGTGTGACCGGCTCAAACTGGAAAAGAAGCAGCGCAGGATGTGCAGACGAGACCCGGGCGTGGCAGAGACCCTGAGAGAGGCCATCACCATCAGCGCCCTAGAATGCCAATATCAATTTCGTTTCGAGAGGTGGAACTGCACCTTAGAGGGGCGACACCGAGCCAACATACTAAAGAGAGGTAGGGGCAGATGAGAATGTCATTTTAAAGGCTTGAGTTACAAAAAATAAGAATTTTACTGCAGCTCTTTTCTATTTTTTTTACTCTAAAACTAACCCACATATTTCTAAATTTTTATTTCATTTGTCACTCTCCCCTGCCCTTCTGCAGGATTTAAAGAGACAGCCTTCTTGTATGCAGTCTCCTCAGCGGGCCTAACCCATGCAATGGCCAAAGCTTGCAGTGCAGGACGCATGGAGCGCTGCACATGTGACGAGGCTCCAGACCTGGAGAACCGCAAGGCGTGGCAGTGGGGAGGCTGCGGAGACAACCTCAAATACGCCAACAAGTTTGTCAAGGACTTCCTGGGCAAACGCTCCAACAAGGACCTGCGCGCACGCGTGGACATGCACAACACAAATGTGGGCATGAAGGTAAGGCTGTATGATCAGAACACGATGGTCATTAAAGGGGGACTGCACCAAATTTGTCTTTTTATTAATGAAAATAGTTGCATTATGTCTTCTGCACCTATGGAGGATCTTTCTGTCTTATTGCATTTGTCAAGGAACATCACTTCTACTTAAATTTGCTGTAATCAATACTTTATATCATCAGTCAGTGAAATAACTACAGTAGGTATAATTCAAAAAGCATCACTCATAATTATAGACCTACAGAAACTCATTAGCTGATTGTGGTTCTTTTTAGCATCTTTCTGTTTTGTGGCCAACATTTTTATAGCTTTGGTTCAGCTGAAAAAGCTATGCTACCAGCTGGTTACAGACAAAGTCAGCAACTGGCAGGTAAACATACTGGAGTGATTCATAGCTAAAGAAATAAAAGGAGAGTGAATATTGGACTCACATTTGACAGACAATTATTCTTAACAGCCTCACTGATGTTAGACCGATTTTAGGGAGTTACATAAAAAGAAAATTTAAAAAAGTACACTAGTTTTATTGTAGTATATTTACTCCCTGTCATTTTTATTTTCCTTTTATTAAGGTAATAATTTCCACAAGTAAAAACAACAGTTTAAGTTATAACACACACATTAATCTAACCAGGACACACTTATAAAGGAACCAGTTTAAACAGGATCACAGTTCATTTGGAGTTGCAGACAGTATTTAAACAGAGATGTTGGCTAAATGCTTTCATGAATCAGTTACATGGTGGGAAAATTGTGATAATATAATAAAGTCTGTGTAATTATGTAGACAAACATTGTCATGAAGTGCCAGTTCATTGTGCACCTTATCCCAGATATACTCTACTACTGTATCTTTGGTTTTGCTTTTGTAACACTAGAGCTTAAACATTACAGCGCTAGTAACCGACTGCTGTCCAAGACAAAACACACAGTCCACACATACTGTGAAAATAACCACAAATGATTTTAGCATGTCCACAGCAGAATGACACTGATAGAGTTATACACTGAGCATCTCAGGTCAGTGAAATTACTGGAGAAATATTATTCAGTTATGAATCACCTCACTTAAACTGGACAAAAACCTAAATTGTTTGATTTAAGAAATTGCTACTGTAAATTTGATGAAAATGTAATGTGCTCATTAGTCAATATTTGATTTTCTCCCTCAGATTAGATAGGCAACAAATCTCATTTGAGCCCTGGCACAATTGATTTGATTTTGCTTTGATTTATTCTTTCAAGCATGTAAAGACAGTTGATATGTCAACACACATAATTTTACACATGTCCAACAAATGCTAATCCAATACCAATTTGCTTATACCTAGTACATGCTTGAATGGAGTAGGAAGAAGTCAGACTTATCCAGTCCTACCCCATGACATCATCTTACCATCATTGGTTTGCAAGCAGTATCTCTACATAGATAATTCTCTTCTACACCACACAAGTAATATACTAAAAAAATTATAACAGAGTGTTAACATTCTTACATAATTACATTCTTAAATAATTATCTTCTACACCACACAAGTAATATACTAAAGAATTATTACAAAGTCTTAACATTCATACACCACACCGACAATGTTCCATCTGATTAATCATTAAGCCTGTTCTTGCATATATCTTGATTGACACATACCTTTATATTTATGTTTAAACTTGTCAATTCTATTACTATTTTTTATGTCCACA